CTCTGATGTCTGGCCACTAGTCATCTATTTGGTGAGACCACCATTATCCTTTTTTAAATATGTAACACTGAGTCAAATGCTGTGTTTGTCAACTATATGCAGTGTGCATATTATATTTACTGTGCTTTATCTCCTGTGGATTTAAACATATATGATTGGAAAGGCAATTATAAAGAGCGTTGAGCAAAGCGACAGTGGTGCGGTGGGTAGAGGAGTTGTCTCCCAACCAGAAGGTTGAAGGTTTGAATCTCGGTGCCTGCAGTCCACATGTCGAAATGTCCTTGGGCAAGACACTGAAGCCCCCAAGTTGCCCATGATGGCGGCGCGTATGCACGCAGCGGTCCGGGCCCCTCGACTCCAAGCAAAATTTTGTTGTACGTGTCATAATGTTACAATGACAATAAATAAAGCTTCTTCTTCTTCTTAGTATATTACAGATGCACTAATCGATTGGCAGAGATAAGAAGTGTAATCGGCCTTGACTTGTGACCGGCCAATCAGACCCAGAGGCACAACAGTCTCCACACTGCGCATGCAGGTCTGTACTGGGCGTGTTTTCACTCGTGCCTTGGAAGTGCTTGGTATACAAACAGCGTACAGACAAGCCTACAGAAACACCTTGGAGAAGGGAAGGCTGTGTCCAAATCTCTGACAAATACTGTAGTACACAGGGCTTCAGGCTGCAAATGATCACTTGTATTTTGCGACTAAATTTATTTAAGGCACGACTGATGTTTTTCAAAGGTATGTAACTGCAAAATAAACAGTTTATGCACAAACCATGCTCTCACTGTAAATACAGTGGACAGACAGCAATCTCCACAATACTGTCATCACAACTTTTATCTGCATATCTGTCCCCTGGAAGTCTCACAAGACAGAGACTTCCAATCTATCAAATGTGTAGATACACCCCACTTAAATCAGATGGATCACCTGTTAGCCTATTTATGTGTTGGTAAATTGGTTTGTACTTCAGCTGAAATACAGCATGATAGCCTAATCAGTGTTATCATTATCATCATGTTGACTGTGAGGCTATAGAGCACTACAGTGACTACAGAAAAAGAGTAACTCTAATCATCAACTAAATAATAAAGGAGATCATCAGCAGATAATCAAAATAATTCTTAGGTGCTGCCTTAGCTGATTAATCTTTGTTGTAAGTTTTGAGACTGTAGTTTGTACTGAACTGGGTATTTTAAAAAAACATTTGTTATACAGTATACTTGTTGCTCTATTGAGATGGTGGTGAGAAAAATATCCGAAACACAGGCCGTGATCATATTGTATATTGCATCAAAACAAAATATAATTATTTTTGCTTTTTAATCTACAAATATGTGGTTCAGCCTACAATATATATCTTTTATGTAACTCGCTGCGATTGTGTCCTCACTGTGCCACCTGAAATGAGTTAAAAAACATCGCTCAAACCACAATCTGAACATCTTGAGTATCAACAACTCATCCACTATGGATATAAACAATGTTCTTTAAAAACTTAATTTCACTTGCTCCTTTGCAGGCAGTGGTGGCTGTAGACAGCTTGGATTCACAGCGGTTATAATGGATTCCAATGGTGACCCAGATTCATGGTGAAGGAAAAACCATCAGAAAAATCCTCTCAAATCACTCAAGCAGTCACTTCTCTTCTGTCCATCCATATGCTCGGTATGCATCAAACATTTGATTTTTGCCATAAATATGGCAGATTGCACAACTTAAATTTGAGCTCTCACTTTTGGTACTCTCAACCAAGGAGAGCAAAGATATAGATGATAAAGATATTAGAGGAAAGCTTGATATTAAGGCTAGGAGGATGTTTTGTTGTTAAGAGGTGCTACAGTCTCATGTGCTGGTGACTGACTGTATTATTTAGTATTAAAAGACAGCTTATTGATTATTGGATAGGCTGCTGTAGCTTTTTATACCTTTTATTAGTGAGAAAGACTTTCAAAACAAGCAGATCACTTTCTCTTTGAAGGAGGAGTAACTGCAAGATAATGTAGGGTTTAACAGCATGTCAAAGGCCATTAAGTTGATCTGTCTCCATTTATAAGCTTAACAGCAACTATTACAAAGGTTTCTTTCCAACAAGAGCATCCAGCTCAACTGAGGCCATGTGAAAGCTTCAGAACACATGAACAACTTACCTCACCCGGACACAATGTGAAAACAAGGAAACATGGAAATAAGGAGGATGACTCATTGGCCATTTAAGCCCTCATTGATGGGGGAAGAGAGCAACATCTGACAGACAGTAAAGGAGGAAAGGATCAATTTTACTGCTTCAACTCAAGTTCCTGCACACTAACAAGGAAACTGATCCAGGTAACCCACGCAGTGTTGCACATACCATTAGACAGATGACTTTTCAGAAGGCTAATATGAAGGGGAAGAGTCGTCATTGTTGAGACACAAATTAGTTGTTGGGAGGAGAGAGGTACTGCTAACAGCCTCACAGTGAGAAAACACCCAACATACTGAAGGTGATTATCACACCACACAAAAATAGATTTAATTAGGAAGAGAGGGAGGGTAGGATTTTTCATTTAGTCATGGATCACACTTAGTTCAGACTTTGTCATCTATTGTCTCTGGCATGTCTTGGTTACAGTGTCCAGGCCTTTTCTCTTGCCAGGAAAAAGCAATATTTCGAAAACCTTATATGGTTAGACCCTCTGTATCAACAGCCTCTGGTGAGTAGCATAAACACTTTCTGTGCAGCTCTGTAGATACTGCTGAGAATGAAGCTGAACAGAATCTAATTATTCCTTTAGTATTTAACACTCCCTTGAACCCACGACTTCTTTTTGATTGATTTTCACTCCCCCTTTTTAGAGGATCTTAAATAAATCTCCTACTTTTCAATAGACGGGCTACTCAGAAATCCCACCAATTTGTCAGTGGTACTATATGCTCTAGGACAGTGTTTTATGCTATTTAAAATCCTTCCTTAAATTTTCAACAAAGGGCAAATAGCTTAAACAGTGGACAGTGTTCCACAGACAAGAAACATGCTGATACATTCTTGGCCGTAGCAATGTCAAAAACGTTCTGATACTGCAATATAATAAAGATAATATTAACAAGTTTTGTCCACATCCGGCCCGTTGGTCCTTTTAATCCAGCCCGACGAAGACTGGTACAGAACTGCCCAAATCAAATCATATCATAATTATGACTGCATTCATTTGACCTTGTCCTGTAATGCCTGGCGTTCCACCAGGTGGCGCATTAGGCGCGGTGAGACATTGACTTGATTTTGCGGAGCCAGGGCTACTCTGTTATTACTCTGGTACTGCTCTGAACCCATCTGCAACAATGAGTGGGCCAAAGAAAAGAAAAGTCGACAGTGAGTGCCGAGTGTTCAATAAGGAATGGACAACTAAATATTGTTTTTTACTGAAGTCCAGTCAAAGGCTGTATGTCTTATTTGCCAAGAAACCATTGTGGTTTTAAAAGAATACAACATCAGCCATCACTTTTCTACCAAGCATGCTAATTATGCTAACAACCAGTCAACGCAAGAACGGACGGCTACTGCTCAGAGGCTGGCAGCTAGTTTGCAGGCTCAGCAAAACACCTTTATCCAACAAACTGCCATCCAAGAATCAAGCATGAAGGCAGGTTATTTGCTGGCATTCAAATTAGCAAAGGCCAGCAAGCCTTTCTCCGAAGGGGAGTTTCTCAAAGAGTGCATGGTAGAGCCAGCAGGTATCTTGTGTCCTGAGAGCAAGAACAAATTTGAAAAAATTAGCTTATTATGCAGGACAGTGACTCGCCGTGTTGAACTAATTGACGAAGACTTAGCTAGCAAGCTAAACAAAAAAGCGGAGTCATTTACATTATATTCCTTGGCATTGGATGAAAGTAATGACATAAAGGACACCACTCAGCTTTTAATTTTTATCAGAGGAATTAATGACAATTTTGAGATAAGGGAGGAATTTTTGGCCATGGAATCCCTAAAGGGGAAAACGCGGCGAGAGGACTTGTATGACAGAGTGTCAGGGGTCATCGAGAGGCACAAGCTACCTTGGAGTACGCTTGCCATGGTTACCACAGATGGATCGCCAAATCTGACTGGAAAAAATGTCGGGCTGCTCAAAAGAATCCAGGAGAGGGTGAAAGAGGACAACCCTAAGCAGGAGGTAATTTTCCTACACTGCATAATCCACCAGGAAGCACTGTGTAAATCCGTATTGCAGCTTGACCACGTAGTGAAGACAGATGTAAAGCTTGTTAACTTTATTCGAGCAAGGGGACTTCAGCATCGTCAGTTTATTAAGTTTCTTGAAGAAACTGATGCTGATCACCAGGACTCTAATATCCGCTGGTTAAGTTTGGGGAAAGTATGTCAACAAATGGGGGAGCTCAAACAGGAGATTAGCTCATTTTTGGAGCTACTTGAGAAAGCTGAAGATTTATGGCTAAGGCTACAGTTATACACGTCATAATAATAATATTAAACACCCTGTCTGCTGACAGTCATCAACTGTTCTCTCTAGTTATCCTTGACCAGAGGTACCCTGCAGAAACCCATAAGCATGACTAAGCATTTAACAGTCTAACTAGACATCCTATCTACACTAAACATTTCTAATACATAAAGTATCTATCCAATATCTATCTGACTAAAAATACCTAACAACACCAACAAAGCACCCCACAGATCCCAGTTGAGTGATGAACACCTCAGATCTGTTCTGAGAATTGCCACAACAAAACTAACACCAGACTTCGATGCACTGGCAAAAAAGGGTGATCAACAACACTGTTCCCACTAAAAGTGAATGTAAGTATTAACACTGTAATGCCTTTTATATGTTTATGTTTGATATGTATGCATCTGGTGCTGGCCCGGTCCGTCTGTCAAATTTTAAAAGTCAATGTGGCCCCTGAGCCAAAACGTTTGCCCACCCCTGCCTTAGGAGCTACAGAGCCCAATAAAATCTCATCATGTTCAGTCTCATACACAGACGGCACACACTCACCTGTACTGTGGAGCTGATTTCAGCAGCAAAGCCTCCTGTTACTGGTGCCTCATGACTGATAAGCAAACGTCCAGTTTTCACCACTGACTGGAAAACAAAAAGACATACCGATGATTACAGAAGGTTCACAGTTTGACTCCTTTATAGTGTCAAACTAGCAGAGTGGTTAGCCACAAAGGTCACTGTGACTTTGTGGGTATTGGGAATGTATCTGTATGTGCAGTTATATGTGCATGTGGTTGTGTATGAGAGATGTACACTGTAGACATGAGAGCTAAACAACTGGAGCTGCCACCAGTGAAGCTGTATGTTGGCTGGGATGCAGATGTTACTTCCTCGCTCACTGTGTGCCTGGCTGTATAGTTCACTGTGTGTGTATGTGTATGTAAAATGGATATGACAACAGTATGAGCTGGAGGGCAGATTTAGGCTGGTATACAGGGCCAATGGGACAATCATAGACAGTAGAGGTCTCAGTCTCCCAGACATTTGCATTTGGGTTTTCTGTAACCTGACATTACTGCATAAGGATACCTCTACTCCACCCGTTATCTCCCACAGCATAAAACCAATACTGTACTATAATCTCATCCACTTGCCACTGGTCCAGACCAAAGCTATGTCTGTTCCCTGCTACTGCAGCAAACCCTTACTCTCCTCTACCCAGTTGTTGTAGTTCTGTTTGTTTCCAGTAATACATTGTATGAACACCTCTGAATGTACAGGTTGTTGCCTACATTATTTTGAGAGTCTATAGTTCTCAATAGGATTTACTAATACATGCGTGTGGAATTCCTGGTCCATGTTTAAGAATGTGTGTTGATTTTCCACTGAAATAACAACACTACACAATTTAAACACAGGGTGTAAAAATCACATACCCCTCTGTTCCCTCAAGGCCACAAACCAAACAGCCATCGTAACTAAATAAAAATAAGCAACACATGTCCACATGTCACTGTAAATTAGTTCTGACATACCCTCCAACAGAACCACATACAGTAGTAACACACAGAGAAGCATTCTGGGGCTTCAAGCTGATGTTTACACTGTTTAGGTCCTAGGTTTGGCTGTGAAGCACTAAATTAACTGTGTCTAACATTAGCACTATCACTCACTACTATTGGGGGTTAAATTGGTCACCACTGTGACAGCACCATTTGATATGATGCTGAAGTTAATAACAATGCTGGAAGGCAATAACAGTTGGCAGTCTGCACAGTGAAGAGGAATCAAATGAGGTGTTAAGAGCAGGGCGATGTCTTGATATGACATGTTGCTGTTAGGTTCGCCTTAGCGCAATGACTCATACAGGTCCGGTGAATAAACAGTGCTGTAGTCCAAACTTCTACCCCACCCAGACTGTGTTAACATTACTTCCAATTTACACTGTGATACCAGTCCCGATATCAGTGCTGGTCAGCTCCCTGAGGGGAGGCCCACCACAGAACTCACTGCACCAGGAGTGCATTTTTCTGATGCTGTTGACACAGAAGAAGACTGCTGCTGTTTTTACAATATTGTGGGATAGAATTTCAGACTGTGGGGCCTCTGGGGAAAACAATGACCCAGTTGATAGACTTGTTCCAAATCCATGCTGCTTAAACACAAGTGACGTAGTGGCAAAGTGTCCACTAGCTGGCATAAGCTAGTGCGGTAGGCTATTCCATAGAGGGGCATGCCAGCATATAATAAGACAATATGTTGAAAAGAAATGGCATAATGTGGCAATGTCTGGGACAACAAAGTGGTCCAGCGTGCACTGGTACAGCCAGCAGATCAGTTCAGATTGTGAACTGGATTCACTACATTTTAGTCAAAAAGGAAAAGGAAAAACCAAAATAACACAGTATTGCATTACAATGGCATTTTCTCCCCATAATGCCATGAAAGTTACATATTCACTAACTGCTTCTTTTGTCAGATACTGTATGGTTGTTTTTACATCTCAACTGCCCGACTCATTTAACTCACCTCACTGGCTTAAGCTCACTTACACACAGTTTCAGTAAACATAAAAAAATACACACGCACACGCACACACAGTTGTTTTTACATCTTGGACAGGAGAATGTGATAGCACTAACTGCTACATAGTAATTGTGGCTGCAGCGTTTAACTCAGCTGTTTCTGGTTGTTGGATTGACTTATAGGAGACAGAACAAGCCACTCTCATTGGGCAGTTCGACCCTTTTCTCTAAAGTTATCCAGTCATCTTATTTGACCATGACAGCCCCCCTGTCATGTTGATAAAACAGAGACTCAGAACTGGGGGCACAGCCTTTACTTTTAAGACAGTGGGGTAACAAGTTAGATGCATCCATGGGGAGAAATGGCATGCCTTGAGTGAGGACAGGAGGGTAAAACAAGTCATAAATCACTGGCAAGAAATCTCTTTCTTATGGTCACACCATGGACATGTGCCTGATGAGTTTATTACTGAGTGGCTTGTGTCCTGTAAATCAACGATTTATCACACCTTTACTCTGATTCTGGTTATGTCCTGCACAATATTCTTGGCCTAACTGAAGCATATATTTTGAATGTTTCCTAACACTGTCTAACTTCTAAGAAGTTAGCCAGCCATCCTCAAGGAAGTCAGGCTATAAATTAAAAAACTTATCATGTACTACAACATTTTCCTACACAACAATTACATGACAAAACAAGAATACACACCCAGAGCTGTGCTTGACTTAAGTGCCAGCTAGGGCACAGTGGCATCACCTCGATGACACTAGTTTCATTTCAGGGAGGGTGCACTCTCGCAAACATAAGTTTAGGTAGATAAACTGCAATTGCTTCATACAGCATCTAACTTTATGACAAATATTTGAGGCCATACATGTTGGCTAACACACATTAACATTACATTGTTAGGCTGAGCCTTGCTGGTAGAATGTCTAGGGTGAATTAAAGACAGCATCTGACTTTTGTAAGACGTTAGATTGACTCATCCTACTCCCTGACCCAGCCCTGGCTCCAAGTCAAAATGAGGGATCCTAGTTGGTGGCAGCTAGTGGTAGCTGGGCTGGGTGACAGCTCCGGTGGCTACAGCTTTACTACTCATTGTGCTGCAGGGCTGTAATTAGATGCTGGAGTCGTTCCGCTGGCTACAAGGGAAATGTCTTGTTTACTGCCATTCCTATACACACCCAAACCTAATGAGCAGCGTGGAACTTGTCCTCCTGCATTTACTCCATCCTCACTACTTCTGCAATCCATCTCTTTCTGCGTCAGACTCCTCCTTTTCTGTCTTTCCTGACTCCATCGTTCCTCCATTCAGTGGTCAGTCCTATCCTAGTCACCAATCTTATTGTTTGCTCCTCCTGCTACCCATCCCTCAAACCATCCATTTATTCTGCTTGGCTTTTATGAAGCCTATGCTCTCGGTCCCAGTGCTTCCCACCATGTGGTCTCAAAATGCAGAGGCCAGCTGCCAGTGACCTGGCATGGCCTCAGAAACTAAGGTCAGAACTGTCACTCTCCCATGGTTTCTATGCAAGGCATGCACACACACATGCACACAGCATATTGCATGTGTGCAAATACATGTACCAACACAGGCAGACACATGACTTGTCATACACTGCATACTGATTGATTGAGTTACTGTCACAGGTTGCCTCCTGCGGCTGAGGCTGTTGTTTATTTGGTATTTAAGTGCCATCGTAGTACCAAGGAGACATACATGCATGGAGGACAATTATCACATCACAGAGCACCGATTCATTCTAAAAAAGACGGTGTGCAGACCATGGGGATGAGAAGTGAATAAGAAGAGTCCATATTTGGAGCTAAAGTGGGATGCAGTTTGATTACTGCAAAATCACATAATGTGCTTTCAATGTAATGATTACAACAAAAACTGCTGTGCTTGTACTGTATGCGTACACACTAGTCTGCAAGTGACTCCCCGTCTTCCCATATAGTATGCCTTCTCTTCCCTCAGGCTGTCCATCAAAATGTGACAGGAAGATAAAGTTTAATTCTGTGCCGCCACCAAGGAGTCGCCGGATCCACAGGGTTCGGTCCCTTCCACTGACCCTGTAATTGTGTGGCCACCAAAGGGTCCTAGCTCATGCCCCACCAAATGATGTCTGTGACAAATGAAAGTCGGGATGAGGTTTGACTTTTTGCCTGGGCCTTTAAAGTGGCGCTCTACGATTAGCAGAGTGGGGTGAGTGCTCAGCAAACCAGAGGCCCTGTTAAGCCACTGCGCTGAGAAAGAAGCAGGGCACACGGAAAGACAAACACTCACTCACTCTTTCACTGCCATATAATCACTTGTGCCCTCTCTCACGACAGAAAGAGGGCAAAGGAGGACCAGAGAGAGGGGAAAAGAAAGAGACGGAATGAGTATACGAATGACAGAGCAGAGGAGGGAGCTGGGCGGAGGGCCAGGCCATATTCCAGTGGAACCAGGATGCCAAAGAAGAGATCTGACAGAGAAGTAACTCCAACATCCAATAAAGACTCATAAAATTTAATTTAACCCAATTACTGCCTGA